AAAACGATGTCGTTTCGGCTTCCTGCCTCCTGACGTGGTCTCCGCCGCCGCTCTGCTGCGCCGTTCGCCACCGCGGTTTTGATCGATGCTGGGGCCCAATGGTGGTCGGCGGCCTACAATTTCTGACTCCCACATCCAGCAGGTTCTCGCCCCCCACCGCCTCCCTTCACTCGATTCAAGTTCCGATAAGCATTATCCAGGGTTCAAGTTACCAGTTACTAATTGATAGGTATCAAATATATTAAACTTACCAAAAGTTGAAGATTTATCCACATGTGAATTGATGCGCTGTGAAAATAGCATAGAGCCAGAATTGTATAGAAAGGTAAATAATTAAAACAGTAACATGACAAAGAAGAACACAATACAACGGCGAGCCCCACCGACCATAATAAGCAATAACTTTTTAAAGAAACGAGGCGCAAACGGGCTGGCTCCGGCGGACCGAATCTTCTAGGTCGATGGAGCTGTCGCAAAGCCCTGCCCTTCAAAAAACACGATTGGAACGGGTATTCGTAAAATATTAATTGAAAAAATGAATAGATGACGAAAAAGTGAAGGTGTGAACGGAGAAGATAATCGGAGAGAGAACAAAGATGAAAATAATGAGGCGGCACAAAAGCAAAAAAATCGATGCTGGAATAGACGGACGGATTGAAACCGGTTGGAAACAAATTATTTAGAGAAGAGATAAGGCCACATGTTGGATGAGTCACGAGCTGGAGGTGGCGGAGAGAAGAAGGAGATGGCGGTCGGAGAGAGAATAAAGAAAATCACGATCAAGAATTGTAGGCGAGGAGGATAAGAAGAAAAGAGGTTACCATATAATAATTGGAAGAGGGGCGGTGGAGCGGCCACGGCCCTCGAATGGAGCGAGCTACGCCGGCGGCAAGGGGTCAACAGCTGCTGGGCTGATCTAGGGGCCAATGCGTCAAAACGGCGTCGTTTCACGGAAAGAAGAATAAAATAAAAGAAAAAATTGGCCCATTTAAAACTGATACTGCGCCGTTTTGTTCCCTCTCTCCAATCATCGCCTCCCATTCTTTTCTTTTCCATTTATTTTGGAAGCAGCTTGACCATTACGTGCTTGCTTTATTTTCACTTTTCTTTTAATCTGCCTCCTGCAAAACGATGTCGTTTCCGCTTCCTCCTCCTTGTCTGCTCACCACCGCCAATCAGCAACGCCGTTTGCCACCGACGCTTCGATCGATGTTGGGGCCCAATGGTGGTCGGCGGCCTACAATTTCTGACTCCCACATCCAGCAGGTTCTCGCCCCCCACCGCCTCCCTTCGTTTGGTTCAAGTTCCGATAAGCATTATCCAGGGTTCAAGTTCCCAGTTACTAATTGATAGGTATCAAATTGATTAAACTTATCTTCAATTTCTGCTCCAATTTTTTCTTCCTCACTTTTCCTCAGGAACTTTTGAGTCTTTATTTTTCTTCATCCTCTTCTTCCAGAGCAGCCGCCGGCGACTCCGGTCCATTTTCATTCCCGGATAATGATTTCCCTCTTCTCCCTATCACGTATGGCTTTTTTTGGTCCCAAGATTTGGTGTCCCGTTCTCTTTTCGCTGTAGAAGCCTACAATTGCGGACTCCGACCGCTGCCCGTGCGCTGATCGCCGCCCCGTCCGATGCCCGCCGGCGTGTGGTGCCAGGTTTCAATATTTCAATCCTTCTCTATTCGAGAAACCCCTTGCTTTTGATGCCGATGACTGAACCAATGATATAGATTTCATCCGCAGTCAGGATTTCTTCTGGTGAGATTTATTTACCTCTTCTATTTTA